CCCAGCCCAGCACAGCTCCGCCCATCCGATGTAGTACGCTCACATGATTATTCGTTCGGTCGTATGAATATGCCTTTCCTTCTACTTATTTTTTTGACGATATCTACGTTGCGCGTGTCTGCATTCGGGTTCGTGGCCCCTATCCGGTTTTAGATTCAATCAATTCGTCGTTCTGCTAGGGAGCCCAATTGTCTGCCACGGTATTTCTTCCAACTGTTGCCTGTCTGAAAGTGCCCCGATGAGCTCCCGACTCCGTCAGAGACAAAATTAGTTGCACAACGACTCGAGCGGAGCCTCATGTCTACAACTTCCTTAGCTTGGGAGCTATGCAGTTTCCATATCTGACCCCCTGCTCGATCGATCTGACCTGACTAGGCGTGGCGGCAAAAGCAGAGACTGGACTGCGACAACCACCTACAATCCACATGGCACGGTCCGGCCAGGACACCTAACACTTCGCTGAATGTCTCCTGCCACATCTGAGCCCATGGCCGTTGATTTCTTCTGCTAGTTCAGTGAACTCCGGCCGCTCCACCTCGGCTTCTGGCGGCCACATTCCAGGCATTCTAGGGAACTTGGGAAGGCGACGTAAGGTCCCATGGCTGCCATCATCTTGTACACTCCCGCCTTGAAGTTACGGCAGTCGGCAGCGACCTTCTCACGACCGTGATGGGCCACAGGCGCGGGAGCCCTCGAAACCATACTTCGGCAGCACGAGACTTTGCACCTGCCCCGCGGGCAAGACACCCAGGCAATGACTGCTGAAGCCATGTGAAAAGTTGCTGCCTCTAGCATGAGTTCTTGTCTTCTGCGGGCCTGAAGCACGTCTAGACAAGAGGGCAATGGCAAGTGCATGGATCTGAAGCACCACGCTGGACTCAGAGTTTGGCGAGCTCTCCGGGGCCATCAGAATTTCGCTCCACCTCCTTCAGCCTTGCCTGCAGATAGAATGAGATAGAATGAGATTTCCACGTGTTCGGTCTTCCAATGCAACACCACTAATACATGTAGGTCACGCCTGGAATTTGGGGTTTGCGAATCTATCTCCTGCCGAGACCAAGCACGTAAATTCACTGCCTCTTGCATCATGCATACACTGCACGGAAGAGTCAAACCATGTAAGCGCGACGAAGCTCTTGCTGCAAACCTACAGTTGCATCCACAACGCCATGCTTAATGCAGGGCAGTGCTCAGATTGCTGAGTGGGAAACTTGTGACTTCGTCGTAACTGATCGCTGGATCCTGTGGACTTGGCAACCAGACGTGGATCAGAGTGGATGCTTGGCACAAAAGGCACAGCATTTGCAGATCCGGTCGCCGTCCTCCTCTAACTCCTCATCGCTGCTGGTTGCCTGATGCTCGTGTGCATGCATCCACTTCTCAGCTCAACTATGCTCAACTAATTCAACGCTTGGGATTCTGAGGTCTGCACAGCCTGTGCCTACCCGAAAGCAACATCTGAAAAACGTTCATTGATTTTCGCGACTTGGCTACGCCCACCTTGTGTGCAATGAGTCCCCTGCTCCCGAGACTGCCAAGAGTGCTAAAGCCACGGATTCCGCCAAGGCCTTCACAACAGCTCTGCTTTAGAAAACTGCGTGCCCCTCTCCCTCGCGGCTCTGAGTCTTCCGCCGCCGAAGGTGCCGAATCCACTGCCGGGGACCTTCAAAAGGCCCCCGATGACATGCAAAGAGTCAAGTGTACTCGCACAGGCTACTGGCCAAGGGTGGTGGCTCCTTAGTGTGGCGTGGACTCATCCGACAATGTGCGACAAGACTCGCCACTAAGCTCAGAAGATTCCTGAAGAAGAGACGTTAAACAAGGTGAAAAAGATCAAACAGTTGGCGAATGTCATTGAGAATGCTAGGAGCATCTAGGAGCCACGCATCGTCGTCATTGGAGTATCCGGCGTGGACGTTGCGACCCGGACGTGGCTTCACTCGGCCAAAACTGTCCTCGACCATGTCGTCAGGTCCTGAGTGTCGTCATGCCATGCTTTTTTGCGGGAAACTTAACATTCGAGCTTTGGTTGCTGGGCACTAGTCCTTTTTCGCCGCGGGTCTGTGGTCTTTCCGCATCGACCTTAACGACTCGGACTCTTGGTTTCAGCCTGATCGGCTTTCCTGTTGCAAGCCCTGCTTTGACTACTGACGATGCTCGACAGACTGCTCTGTCGTTCGACTTCTCGTTGTCCAGGCACACTTCTCGTTTCTATCCCATGCTGGAGTTGCGACTCGAAGTCTGGAGTTACTGGAACATGCGCGGCTCCGCATGCCAGAACTCGGGCGTGTCGGCTGATGTCGGCCAATCCACCAGTGCTGCATCGGGCAGCTCAGAAGAACCGAGTGCCTGCAAAAAGACAATGCCGGACCGAGGCACCAAATTTCCGAGGCTAGCCAGCAGTCCCTGGTGCTCACGCCATCATGCAATGCACATCCACCCCGAAAATATGCCACGATCTTGGGCCGGCTCCATACACTGTTCGCCAGGCAGGGTCTCGAAGAATTTCCCACTAACAAGTGCAGTGGCTATAGCTGCTGGCCGCCTTTGGCTAGTGCAACTTCGGAGATGTCCGTCGGAGAACGACGGGCCAAAAGGATCGTCAAGCAAGCGTTCAAACTGTCGCCTACGCTTTCAGCTCTGTCCAAGAATTTGCCCAATAATCTGCGTTGTCCTCTGCCTGAGGGGGACCACTGTGAAGTGCCGGCAACGGACTCATCGGCTGTATCCAGGGCATCGACTGCACGACATTTCCACTCCAACACGCTAGAGTTGATGCGTGCTGCAGACGAGGAAAGATCCTCGATGAGCTCTCCAACATCCTGTGAGATCGTGTGGTCCAGCGATTCCCTCAATTGAGATATGCGACGCATTGCTTCGTCCAAGTAGCGATAAATTCGATCAAACACGCTCGTAGCATCTCGGGTGGAAACTGATCCACTTTGAAGGCTTGCACGCAAAGCATTCAGTGCACCACGAGTGTGCGGCCAAGACAGATGCTCCGGTTGTCCAGTCTGTCGACCCGGGGTGTGTGCGATGGACGCAAGCCAAGGCTTGGGCACTCCTTGACTTGCTGGCACTGCGGTCGCTGCAGCCCAAGAGGCACTGCTCGAAACATCTGTTTCTGCACTTATGCGGCGTGCAATTTCCGTGGTGAGCAGCTGGACATTGGCTGCTGCCAAATCGTAGGCAATGGTGGGACATGTGTCATTGGGTACCGAGGATATCGGGCGCATCAGGGCTGACAAAAACCCGGGTTTTCGAGCGAATGCTTGGCGAGCTGCATCGTCATACATCAACTCATTTGTGACTGTCAATGCCTTCAGGCGTTGCAGCAACTGCGCGCTCTCGTCCAGGATGCAGCTCAGGGCGTCAACCACTTCAGCCAGCTCGGACGGGTCACTAGTCGCTCGCTCGCACAACTCCGTGACCAATGGGAAATCCAAGCGTCTATCAGGTCTAAGTGCATCTGCCAAGAGCGAAGCCGCTGACACAGCTTCAGTAGCTGCTCGTGCTTCCACTGCTGCCTTGACTCTGGCTACCAGAACACGCCTTTGGGAAGTGAGCTTGGTCACAGCACTCTGGAACTCCAGAAAGGCCTGCTCCCTGCTCTCAAGATCTGAAACAAGAGAAACTGGATTCGGCAAATGATCAAACCATGAGGAACTCGGTAGCAAACGCTCATCTTCTGCACTGCGTCGACACTTCTCGCTGAGCTGCTTAGCTCTTGAAGCTGCTGCCAAAGTTTCACCAGTGGCACTGAACAAGACCTCGGCGTCTGTGTCTTCCAAGCACACGAATTCCTCGTGCAAGCGCATGAACACCTTCTCCAGCTCAAGCATGGTTTCTCGAATCTGCAGCAATACAACAGCAAGGATTGCAAGTCCTTCCGGCGAGTTCCGGTTTGGACTTAGGGTTGCCCATAAATTCCAGCGCAATCGCTGCGAGTCCAGGCTTGCGGTGTCCGCGCCGCTGGCAAGTCGGAACAGTGATTGCAGCCTCTGCGACATGACGAAATCAGCGGATGTCAAGGTTCCGAAGTCCGGTTGTCGTTTTAGGTGGCAGGTCAGGTTCCTAACAACACCGCCAAGGCCTGCGGGATCTGCGCGCATTTCACACCCACAAACGTGCATCGAGCCCGGTAAATCGAACAAGGCATGCTCATCTTCCGCACTGCGCGCAACCAGATAACTCCCCCTAGCCGTCCTTATGCTGATCCAGCCTCTTATATAGGACAGCTGGGTCTTCACCAAAGCCCGCTGGCGTCCAACAATAGTATGTGTATCCAGTTCCAACACCTTGACATAAGCCCCGGGTAAGAGCTCGCATATCCACTGACTGGTCACAAGTTGCCCCATCCTCATCGTCGCTTGGTGTGTAACTCTACACATGTCACCGCAAGCAATTGGAGCGGAATCCGACTCCAACGATCCACGCCTGTTCACGAACAGGGACGTCACATCAAACATGAGATGGGGCAAAAGCCTACTTAGTTCTTCTGCGTGACGCCGCACGGCACATCACGGGAACAAAACTAATCATAGTAAGCACGCAGCTTACAAGTGTTGCGATGCATGCAAATGAGGTAGGGGACTCAAACTGGTCTGCCAAGCTGCTCAATGGGGTCGTCGATCTCCTCATCGAATGAATCGACTGGATCGGCTTCATCTTTCATCCAGAGCACATCAGGTGGCAAAAAGTGCCAGATGTCTCTTCGACTTGGTCAACAAATAAGAGGTGTTGGAATGTTGAACGCACGTTTCTTATGATGCAAGAAGGCGACTTCTAGAAATGCCGCCTATGTGGTGTGTCTCTCGATCTGTCGGCAACCTTATGTGAAATCAGGTCGTTCCATAACACAAGCAACGGATTTCGAAACACACATTCACAGCCATGGCAAGGGTGACGATATGCAGAAGATATGCCAAAGTGGAACGCGGCTGCAGAACAGGTGGGGGCGCTGTCTAAGCAAGCAGTGCATGCGCGACGAGACTTTCACCAGGATGGCAAAGTGGACAAAAGCTGGGCCCGAACCAACTTCCACGATGCTGCCGACCTTGATGCATCAAAGCTCGATGAAACCATCTTCGGAGGGGATTCCAAGACAACAAGCGCAACCACAACATGACATTAACCAGGGCTGTGGCCGATTCACGAAATTCAGCCCCCACCACGGCCACTTGCCTGAGCACATGTAGCGCGGTGTGCCCTGAATAATTCTTATTTCTGCCTGGCGGGCTCCGATCGTTTTACAAGGGTCTGGCAAGATGTTAATGTGAGGTACCGCCATACGCTTGTGACATTGAGAAAATGAGCAAAGTGACAGTACTCATAGTACCAACAGTAGCAATACAAGTGAAGGCAGCCCGTAATTAACAGTGATGGACTCAGAATGGGCAGCGGCTCACAAAACGACCTGGTGGGTATCGACTGCCTGGCCATATATCAATCGGCCATTTTGGGCACAAAGCTGAAGCAACGAACCTTCACAACAAATCAGAGAGAGAGACGGAGATAGGCATAGCTTCCCTCCAAAACCCACCTCGAAGCCAAGTCGGTAATAATTGTGCCTTAGGAAATCGTGTCCCCGCAAAACGTTGTGCACATTTTGTTCGCGATCCTTGTTTCGACCTCTCAAAATCATGTTTCTGCCGCACTGCCCCGTATGTTTTGAGGTACGACTCGTGTGCCTGCCACGGCGCGGTGTATGTTCTGGAGTGCCGATAGACCTCCCGTCATAGTGCGGTGCGTATATACTTTGGAAGGCTATGTAGGGCTTGGGCTGCTGTCTTTCGAAACAAGCATCATGCAGTTGGATCTACTCGTGGGCAAAATCAAACATATTTGCCGGTGATCCAGAACATGCGGCAAAGGTGCATACGTGAGAGAGAGAGAGTGTGTGTGTGTGTGTGCGTGTGTGTGTGTGTGTGTGTGCAGGTACATGTCACTGCAGCAGAAAGGTTGCATAGACCCAGTGGAACGAGGGCAAGTTTCTAACCCAGGATCATGTCGCATCAAGCGCCTTCTCGCGCATGTACATAGAGACGAAGTCGAATGCGGTCGAATTCATGACAGGCTGTATCGCCCGTGCTAAGCTACCCGACAATCAGTCAGGGTATTCCAAAGACTCAGGAGGAAATCATGAACTTCTCCATGATAAACTGGCTGAGCAAGCAAGTGGCCTTCCGTACGGAAGATGATGTTGTCTTACCCAGCAACTGCCATTTAATCTTCCGGATGGGGCTTGGTCCTGGGGCTCGCTTCTCCGTAGTGCGTGGCTTCAAATGCTCCAGGATCAAACTTTCCGGTCGCCCCCGCTCGATCAAGCCGCACCATTGCTCCCATAAGGCAGGCTTCTGGGGATCAGCAAAGTCATCTATGTTGCTGATGTCGGTTTTTGCGAAGCTGGCCTCGTCGCCCTCCACGTCAACCCATGTCTTGCGGCCGCCCAGCCGGATCTCCTTCTGCTTGGCAAGGACGTACTCCTGGCGTGAGGCGGCCATGTCTTCCGCGAACTTGTGGTTGACCTTCATGAGCTGATGGACCGCAGCATTGGAGACGTTCTGCAACTTCAGAAAGAGAACAGCAGCCTGTGTCTGTAGTGGAATAGCCGAGGTACCGCGGCCATCGGTGAAAAAAGTGATGAAGGTGTTGCGGGGACATGTAGATGTGGCACGCTTTGTTGCTACAACGGTATTTGAGCTGGGGTCTGAGTCTTCATCAAGTCGGAGAGCGTCCCTTTCTCACACCCAGGACACCGCATACCGGACCAAACCGGCAGCTTCTTGTCCTGGATGAGCATTCGGACGATGCCATCATTCGACGACTTGATGAGTTCTGGAAGGGATCGCGAGCAAGTCGACTGTTCTTTTCGAAGTCCACGACGACCAGGAACAACGCCCTTCACCCGGACATGCTTGACGGATTGGTACTCCTTGGACTTAGACTTCGTGCTGACGGGGAT